TTACAGTTCTTAACAGATAATGCATGCAATCGTTGTATATTGCATGTTGACATACGATTTAAAATAGATATATTTTGTTTATTTTTTTAGAAAATTGCTCCTGTGAGTTATATTATATATAGGAGAGGTGGCCACAGTGAGACACTAAAAATTACTTTTTAAATTTTGTTTTTGTTTGAAGTGATAATCCTTCAACAGCGTTATGGTTTTATTCTAAATATTATTGAGCATTAAAATACATATTAATACAATCTAAAATTTAACGAAATTTCAACCCAGAGAAATTTTTTTTTTGAATGTCATAGTGTCTCACTGTGACCCAGCCTTGTATTCAATGAGACACGTCACGGTGCACTGTGGTACATAATATAAAACCTTTTAAATTTGTAATTTATCTTTTATATTTAAAATTTTCATTTCACAACATTTATATAATATGATAAAACAATTAAAGAGAATTTTTTTAACAAATTTTAAAATTATTAATTGTGTTTTTGTACAATTGAAAAAATGTAGGTGTTCATTTTGTTTATTTCAATAGTTTTATGTTTAAGTTTTAAAAATTAAATAAAAATCATAACCTAATATCACTTTATCATGATCACAATTTATTTCAACAGTCTTGTTTTAGAGTTAACTGATGTTAGGTACAACGAGACAACAGTATATTTATTTGTCTCACTGTATAGGTACCGATCTATTATTTTGCAGATTTTTTATTATTCTCGTATGAATATTTATGATAAACAATTGTGCATATAACTAAATTGTGCACAAGAAAAATTTAATTTATACATACCTTAAAATACGTAACTTTGAATAAAATTCGATACCAAAATTGAAAAAAACGAAGCTCACATTTTTCACGTTTTGATAACAAAAAATAACAATATTATGAAAAGATGATAGTATCATTTTTGACCTGAACTTACTAATTGCACGGATATAGATACTAGTATCTATATCTGTGAGTGACTAATAGTTAACCATTATGTTTATTATGATTTTATGAATCTTCTGGATTTTCCATCTGATGGTTAAATATTAAATTAGTCGACTTATATTTAATGGATCACTGTGCCCAGTGTCTCACTGTGGCCACCTCTCCCCTAAACACAAGACTACATAGGTTAGTGATGTCATGGGGGAGGTTCAACCCCCCCCCCCTTGAGTACGCCCCTGTACAGTGAGAACTTTAAGCATATTAAAATTAATGCAAATATTTTTAGCAAATTGAAAAAGGTGGGTAAGTGGCCCAAGTGGGTATCGCTCTGATGCACAAAAGGTGTTTAGAGGTGTCATTAAGACATTATAGGAATACTGCAGTATCTAGGTTGGACTGATTTTTWTTTTTGTTGAAAAAATTGCATTTCAAAACGTTAAAAAAAGCTGATAAGTCGTGGATGTTGCTCTGCTGTACAGTAGGTTACAACTTTACAAGTGGGTTACTGTAATGGATGGAATTAAATTTTAATCCAATGATATTATATCATTGTATACGAAAAACGATTTTGAACGGAGACAGCTAGGTTTATCTGTCTAGGATAAACTATAGATTATTAAAAATTTTCAAATCTTAGATTTAAAAAGAAAATTTTTTATGAATTTCTAGCTTAAAATAATTTGCGAATTTTTGTGATTTTCACGTATGTCGTCAAAATTCAAACTTTGAATGCTTGTAAAAAAAAAAATTGTGGACATGTATTTCTTTTATTTTTCAACTGCTATTGTAAAAATAAGTTAGGAGCCTTGATTTAAATTTTCAAATCTTAGATATAAAAGGAAATTTTTTCATGAATTTCTAGTATAAAATAATTTTCGAATTTACGTGATTTTTACGAAATATATTATTATACCAAAGTGGTAGGTTTTATGACCGTTTAATTTCTAATGTATTTGAATACATATGAACCRTTCAAAACATTTTTGTTTCTGTAAGTAACAACTGTACTTTTTATCCACGAGTCTTGGAAATTAAATCCGCTGTATAAATATTGTACTTACCTACGTTATTTCATTTGATATGATTTTTACATTATTTTAACCGAGCTTGCCAAATTACCACTTATCTTTGGAAGATTATCATTAAGRTAGATGAAAATCAGAAATTATACAAATTAAAATTTAATAAAATTCATCTAATGATTTGTCTTAATTGTTTAGGTGATATCGTAAGTGTTTTATTCCACTAAAATTACTTAAGAATTAGACTTAACTCAAACAAGGACAATAGTATTCATTATATCTATCACTGAAAAACAGTGAAACTTATTTTTTAAACTATAGTCTAACTGAATTTTAATATACAATATTATAAATTAAATTTATTAATTATAAAATATTTCGGGGGGGTTGAACCCCTAACTCTCCCCCCCCCATATAAGGCCTTGAGAAGTATAGAGGTTACCGTATTGATACATAGCGACGTGCGTAACTGCCTGGTGTATATACATATTATTTACATCGTGCCATTTGTGGACGCAAATAATCTTACGTCTCCTCAGGCCCGTAGACAGTAGCCAGACCAAATTTTCAAGTGGAGCAAACCAAATTATAGGAGGGCCGGGGTATTATACAAAAAAATTGTTTTATAAAAATAACGCCTACCTAAAGACCTTTCTAATATTTTTAGTATTTTTAAGGGACCAACGATTGGGAGGGCAACGTCACCTCATCTTGCGCCTACTCCTCCTTTCGTAACTACGCGTGCCTGCGTTTACTGCTGCGTTATCGTCGTCGTCGGAATTTCTTAAAATAAAAACACTATTTTCGATTTCGTAATTTCACGTACAGATGTACACCGTACAGCATTGACAATAGAGAACTGTGAATAGTGTTTTTAGCAGTGACTTGATAGTAAAAAAAGTCTAAAATAATAAAATRTAATACAATAACAAATAAAATATTATTTATCTATATAATCATTAAATAATGCTACCTACCTATTGTTATGCTACTAAATAGTAAAATTAAGAAATATGCGCTTAAAATTAAAAAATRACCTAGAAAATATGCAAAAATATGCACTATAAATGAACGATACGATCATCCAAATGACTGGCAACAATCTCATTACGTAATATATATTATGACCGTGGAGGATGTTCGTAAATATGGAATTTTCTTGTGTACCACTGTACCAAATGTAGGATTAAAAAATATGATAGATTGATAGTTATAGTACCTATATTAGATAACAAATATTTGTGCAAGCATTTTATGTAGGTAATAGACCTCCGTGCTAGCTGGGGAACACCCCCAGACCCCTCTGTGTTAGCGAAAAGTGCATACCGAACGTGAAGACAAAGTCGTTCGAATTTCGAATTATTGAAGTCATGGCTGTAGTCATCGATCAAAATTCATAAGTCGTAGGAGGTGATGAGCATTTGGGATAAGGCGGATATGGGGGTGACGATACCTAGCACGGAGAGCTAATATTCAAGACGGGAACGTTCAAAATTCGAGTCTCATGGTTTAGAAATCTCTCATAGAATCTGAACAGCACAGCATCGATAATCTATAATATATGCTCCAGTCTTGTCCCGTTATGAAAGTTGAAACGCAAAGCGTTAAGCCGAATTTGAATACTAGCAAGTCAGTCGCGTTAAGTGAAAATACAATGACGTTGTACACAGTATATTACGATGAGCGATCGTAAGTGCAACTCGCCCACTTACTGCATACCTACTATAGGTTATATTATTTTACTATGAAAATTTTAAAATTTTCAATTTTAGCCTCATTGCCTGATGGAAAATATGGAGAATAAAAAACAACCCCCAAATACGTTGGAACTGTCCAATCAATAAATATCCGGGATAAATTATGTACTTTTAGTTATATATAATTTTATAATCCTCCAGCAACTATTAGGGTAAAAGCAAAAATACACAAAAAATTATTTGTTGCATGAGGTAGGTAATTTTTTTATATTGTAACATACTTCAATTAACAACTGACATTTTTAATAAAAGTTTTTCATTGCTTTAAATATCCCATGTAATGTAAACTTAGATAACATTTTTTATACAATAATTAATTATTGGTATATTTTATAGCAAACAAAGTGAAAATAAGCATTGACTCTGTACCATTTTTACGGGTATAATTATTTACTATATTTTATACATTTTTACATAACTATTTCATTATTAAATACATACAATTATTTAGTTCCAGCTATAACCATCTGCTTAGTGCATCAAATGGATGGATTCCACCCAAATTATTGATGAGAATCAGATTGAGTATTATGTTCATACGT